CCGAGACCTATAGAAAACACATTTTAAACAAAACCTGCAGAAACATCGCACGCCAAGAAGCACAATCATCTTGTACTCGGGATGAACTACCTCTGGCTCGAAGCACAACAGGCCGAGATCCTTTCTGAGAGCTGCTGGGTAGTGAAGATATGTGGGCTTTGGGCATTATTTGCCTCTCGTCACAACCTCTGAGACTGCAACTTACCACCGTGTCGCTCCGTTTTGGGTACTTCGTCCAGCGTGGCGATAAGACACTGTTCGCCTCTTGTCACAAGTCTTACGAGAGTGTAGCTTACCTTGTGCGACACAGGCATCTTCTGAGTACATCAACTTGCACGGCCGAAACCATAGATGAAAACTCATGAAGGAATCTTGTTCGGATTCAGGATGCCAACTCTATATTTACGAAAGTTCCTATTTGTTTTACTGTCGTATTTTTCTACTGCTGGCGACCACCCCATAACAACCACGATGATTATCGTTACTCAACATCACTTGCCGTGCTTTCTTATTCGCGGCTACCTATCCTGCAGACAGAACTGCTGAAATTATTGTGGTACTCTTGGTACTCTTGGGGTTGCTGCAGTTTATAAGAACTTGGGGTTTGGAAACTGTATACCAGTACGGTGTGTTTCCGCACAAGAGCTCAGTAGCATCGACCCCAACGTGGAGTTCCCATATGGCTTGTAGAAGGGGGGTTTAAGCTGTGAAATCTATTTAGGACCCACGTCCTAAAACCTTCACTTACAATGTTACAACACAACACCTAAACCTTGCGGCCGTCGGGCTTAGGTCCTTTATGGTCGTGGGCTGTCGTTCTAACACGCATTGAGGCCTTGTACCCAGACCGCTGAATTAAGCTTTCAGGCCTTCTACGGATCATAAAAAAAAAGTTCAACACCTGCAGAATTCTTGGGACCTTCTCTGTCACCAGCAAGGTGCTCCCAAAGCGATGCCAGCAGCAAGGTTACGGCTGCGACAAGACTTGTGTGCCTGCCAGCGTTACAGGCATCCGCTTAGGGGTGGTGGTGGTTACTAGAACAAACAGCACTAGGAGTAGCGGTGGTGCTCCTGAGCGTAGTAGAAGCTTAATAGTAGTAGTAGTAGTAGTAGTAGTAGCAGCAGCAGCAGCAGTAGTAGTAGTAGTAGTTGCAGTACTCGGAGTAGGAGTAGGAGGAGCAGTAGCAGTAGAAGTAGCAGCAGGAGTACTTAGGGGTAGGAACGACGCAAAATCTGCCAAAGCTTTAACGGTGGCACAGCATCCCAGATTTTGTTGCAAAACAGTACTTAAGCGCAAGTGTTTGGGCTAGGCTGAAAAAGCTTCGGCTGTGAGTTGATGCAGACCACAAAGACGAGGGAAACCTTCGCAAAACACAGAAATGGAAACTTAAAGCAGGGAAAAAATCTGTTTGTTTGTCTTCTCGTGGGCGATTTTTGTTTCGGTTGCGGTCCTGCGTCTCGGCCAGCTATGACAGAATCCGAAATTGTACGGTCCCGTCGAGCCCGTGTAGCCTTTGGCTGCCAGGTGAAACGGACGGGGCTCGGACCCCTAGCTGTCCCCCATACATCCTTACATAGGATACATTGGGGAAATGCATAGGTTACAGAGAAGGAAATGTAGCAAGCGTCACTCTCGAGAAACCAAGGGACCCGAGGTGACGGTAGCTAGCAAACGAACATGCAGCAACTACAGTCGCAGATATGGTGACAAGCTGGTAGAAACGAGTAATACTAAACGCCGCTGTACGTAAAGGCGTCGCTCTGCGAAACGACATCCCTACACACTAGTTGCTGACACCACCAAGCCCAACTACCAAAGCAGCCATGGCCACCATCGCCAGCACACACACACACACCCACACACACACACACACACAGAGAGAGACACAGACAGACAGACAGACAGACACACCAAAGACCCAGCATCACCATCGCCGACGCAACAGCTGCCACCACCGCCACAGGAAGAGCAACAGCTACATCTAAGACAAGGGCAGCTGCAACCACCAACCAATCATACAACTGGGCAAAGTCAGCAACAGCAAAACGAAAAAGACAAATGTGCATTTGGCGATACTATTCAACATGATGTCGCATTGAATAACCATGAAGATAGTTATGAGGATGGTCGCAAGGACGACGATGAAGGTGATGTGAGCGTTCAGGGGCCGATGGTGGGAATGATGATGGTCGCGACCATGCACATGATGATGTCTATTCGCAGTCGCAAAACACATGCAAATTACGACTGTCTTGGTGATTATCAAGTCAAAGAAGCTGATGATACTGGTGTTCATGCTGCTGCTGATAATGTGATGATGATGATGACGACGATGATCATGACGATGGTGACGATGACCATTACAACTCTTGTGCCAGTGAGGGTGGTTGCACCTGCTGCAATGTTCACAACTTGTGTCAGTACAAATGCCACGACGACGACACGACGACGACGCCGCAGTGCAACCGATACAGTTCACGGCAACCAGCGAACTGGTGACCGTTCTCATGCCAGCGACGAAGCGCACCGACAACTCAACTTCGACCATGTAGGGCATTCTTAAGGGACCCGAAATACTGCCGATGCCTCTGTACCGGAAGTTTAGGGGTTTGGTGCATTGCGCTTACGCGAATTTGGGTTTTGGAGTTTAGGGACACTCCATTTAAGGATTTTGGGATTGAGGCTTCAGGGAGTGGGTAGTGTCCAGGGGAAGAATGTCACTGCCGTTCGAGCTCCTGAGCAATGACGTCGAAGGCTTGTGTGAAGTCGTCGACGAGTGTCGAAGTTCGCCTGGATCCGGAAGTGAGTAGACCACACCCTGTCTTCCGCATTGCAGGGCTCACATTGGACTAAACCTTGCACCATGAGTAACAGCCCTAAGGTGGACATTGTATTTTACCCATTTCATGGTAACCATCATACCTACCGGGATACTGACAGAAGCCATGAGCGTGGTTCCCAATCTATACACGCGTCCTTGCGCTACTCACGTACTTACGAAAGTTCTGAAAAGCTTTTGCCTTGAATGACCGGTTTCTCAGACTGCTTGCGGTTTTCTCTACTTCGCAAGGAAATCAAAAGTCAATAAAGTTGATGTAAAACACCAAGCTACACTTATAAGTTCAAGGATCCCCAAAGCTTTTAAGGCTTGGCACTGGAGAATGGAGGAGCAGTTTTCTGACCCTTGTTCTTGGCTCGAGATGTATGTGCAGTCTTTTGTGTGTGCACCTCCGCATGTGGCTACACATGTCATGCCTATGTATATAAGCACATGCTTTTAGTGTTTTTCGATCATAGATGCACGGTTTTGTCTTGACATTCTTCCTGCGCACGGAAGGAAAAGCCGACCCGCGAATATGTCAATACATAGCTCGGTCTCTGCGTGTCTGTGTGGGTGCATGTGTTTGTGTGTGCGTGTGTACACCTAATGTGTTCCTTTGCGCTGGAAGGCATTACCCGACTCTCGTTAGGAAGCTGTTAGTGGTTTTAAGTGTGTTGGGAGTTTTCCTTGTCCAATTTTTTTACAGCTATCACCAAGAATCTAGGCCGCTCTTTTGCTTAATAAATTAATGAATTAATGAATTGCTGAATCAATTACTTAATTATTTGTTGCGAGGAGAGGTGGTTGTGGTCGTGTTCATGTGTCCTTGACGACAAGCTGAACGTGACGTTTCAACAGGAAGTCACAGGAATATATGATTACATATATAGAAATAGAGGTAGACTTCTGCAAAGGAACTAGAACCGAAATGTCACACTTTTATTTACTGGGATATAGTACGCGGGGTTGAGAGCTAAGGCTTTAGGGTGGCTAAGCTAGCGATGCCTGCGATGTGACACGGCCGATGTAAATCTTCAATAGTTCAAGAAAATGCCGTCCTGCTTCGGGCCTGGGCACCCTAGACCTAATGGTCCAGTTTCCTGGGGGGAACTAGAAGTTAATCGTGTTAACTTTTGGACCTGGAGTTATATACCGATTCTACTGCACCTCGAAGGTACGCAGCTTGGTCAGTTGCAGGGTAAAGGTCATTAAACATGCCTGAATCCCCGCATCCTCAACCCGAAATCCAACGCCTTCTTCCCTTGCTTCATTGAACGGCTGGAATGCGCCGAAAGAATATATTCTCTAAATCCGACTTCCAGAATGCAGTGAACCTGAACCCTGCGTGAGCGCGTTTAGGGCGCAGGATGTCGGGGCTCGGCTAGACAAGACCTCAAGACTAAGTATGCGTCCCTGGAAGGTATCTGCTTGAAGAGCCTTCCTCGTCTGAACAAAGCTCCGACAGTATACCCTTACATCAGAACAGCCCCCCCCACTCCTTGCCCTAAGCAGTGAACACCCAGCACCCTAGCAAGCCTACATGCTCAGTATATATATATATATATATATTCTTGGCTAAAAAGGTTAAACGTCTCAGCTTTCTCATGCGGATCTCGATACTGAAGACCTTGAAGTTTGCATTGAAGAACATGGCCTTACCAACCAGCGATCCACATTCAACGTCGAGCCCCGAAAACATGAACTCCTTGTGCGGCTTAAGCTTTCAGGCTTACGGTGCGAGGCTCAACGTCTAGGTTGTTTCACCCTCAATAAACACCTGTGTCGAACAAGCTCGAACAAATCCTTGATGTAGTGGCCGACAGAATGAGTAATACTCTTCCTTAAGTTTCGGTATGTACAATTAAACAGTATGCTCCAAAGCCCCATTCAACGTAGTCAGGCCCTCGCACTACATGGGACAGTATGGAGGCCCAACAAGTTCCGATTGCATAGGCAACCGATCGGGTTATGAAAGCTGCGCGCAGAAGATCCTCACAAGGCTCTAGGGTTTAGGGTTGGTGTCTGCAAGTATCTCCCAGTACTTGGGGTTCTTTGGAAGAGTCATGATGGTTGCGGAGCTCGGGCCCCAGAGGAGGGCAATGCTGCTATGTCCAAAACTCTACACCCGAAAACGGCTAGAAGGCTAATTGAGGACGAGCATCTCGTTCGGGAAGTGCTTCATAGCAGTTCCTCGTAGACAATAAAAAGCGAAGTGGTTGTGGAGAGTATTCCTCAGCATATGGACAGTTTAGTGTCTTGTTTGGGGTTTGAACCTCGTTTGTGTATTCTTGCGTACAGTGAAGTATAGATTGGGAAATTGGGGGCGTAGGGTTTAGTGCAGGGTTGAGGGATCCTGGGATCGGCTTCCGAACACAGGGCGAACGCCCTCGGTGCTGAAGCTGCTGAGGGCCTAGAAAGGCTCTAGTTGAAGAGAGCTCATGCACTTCCGGCTTACCAGGTAGGCACGGTGGGAACCCTATTTGGGATCGTCCTCTCGATGAGTGACGAGTAGTATAAACCATAAACCCAACACGCGCTGATCTATGATGCACCCACAGCATGGAGGATAGCTCTGCAGTTGGAACCTTGGTACGTTGACAGAACGAACGGCTTATAGTCGTATGTTGAGCGTCAGTAAAAAGGTCAATCCACGAAGAGTCTGAAGGATTTAATTACAAGGGACACACCCTGCACTCGCCCTAACCATACCTCCCTGCCTATGCTGATGTCTGTTTGCTGCCTTAATCGTCTGTCTGCCTGTTGGTCGGTCTGTCTGTCGATCTGACGCTTATCCACGTGCCTATCATAAAAATATCTGCGTTTCATGCTATTGGAAGCTGGAAACGTAGAACCTGAAACTAAAGGCCTCAAGCCTACCCCCCCCCCCCCCCCGAAACTGGCAGGGTTCAGCTTTGTTGGAAGCCCTCAACCTGCAGCAAATAACAAACTCCAGAAAGTTCGCGCATGTATGACATAGTGCGATACTGATTGCTGAGATTCCCTTATGTTTGACCTTGCAGGCATCATCAACATGTTATTTCAACTTACTTTTCGTCTATGCAAGATGCTGCGCCACTGAACGACTCAACGGGTCAGCGGACCTAATTCATGACTGCCACTACTACTACGATTGCTAGTGCTGTGCCTATGCCTATGACTATGATTGTCATACAACTACGGGTACCTTCATGTAATAGCCCTCATAGTTTGGATCCTAGTCTTCAGCATCCATGTTAGTATCCCGCAAGTCCTTGCTTTAGGGATTGTAACTTAGGATCTAAGGTCGTATATGATTCCTAATTAAGTGCTTGGATCGTTCGGGTAAACCAATTAAATTAAAACTCCAAATTAGTTAGAAGGGGTCGGCCGAATGATTGTTTTTCTGGAAGCCCATTCCAACATGCAAAAACCCACGTATCTGAAAAGGCGCCCAAGAGCCGTGTGGATTTGCACAATCAAGCTCGCGAAGTCGACAGGCGGTGTATACTTGCAGTTTTGTGGTACGGGCGCGAGCTCGTCGATCCCATGGAACGTCAAATCCCAGCTACGGTTTAAGGTCCGGGTCTTGGCCAAAAAAGATCCGCATTAACATTTTGAGGGTATGTCTGCCGAGCGTCTGAGTATACAGATTCCGCGCGGTGAAAACGTCTGGCCGATCCTTGGCTGAACTTTACCAACTTACCAGATCGAACTTTACCTTCCAGAAACCAATTATGAAGGACGCTAGCCCTGAAAGTGCTGAAGCTATCACTTCCTTCCGTGTCCTAACACCGAAACCCCAACGCACTAGATCTTTAATCTCAACCCTTAACTTTATAAGGCCATAGGGCCCTATACATTACGTTTTGAGAAATTAGATCGAAATTGTGTCTCCTTATTGTCTCTTAGTTCCCGTAATCTATCTAACTACAATCTACCCCAAAACCCAATTGGCTTTTGGCGAAGTCCCCTGTGCTCAAAGAGAAGCAAGCATCATTTCTCTGCGGCTGTTGAGAATTAAGACCGTTGACGAAGCCAAGCGAAAGTGCACCAGAGAAGCTCTCGGGTGACCTGAAATTCAGAGGTTGGTTGGTTCTTTTGGTTCAGCTCCCTGATAGGAGTTTCAGGGATGATGAGCCTCTATGTCAATTTGGGTTTTAGTGTCTTGGGGGTCTTCTGAGTTTAAGGCATTTCGGAGCATAAGCTTTCTGGCTTGCGGTTTAGGATTTCTGCGGCATTAGGGCTAGTTCGGGGGCCTTGAATGGCGCTTATAAGATTTGATGGGGTGCGGCTCCAAGTTTCTATCGCTCGGCGCCGCAGCTGCAGTGACTGTAGTAGCCACGACAACAACGTCACCGCGCCCCACCAACAATAATAATAAGAAAGAAACAAAAAGTCACTCGAAATTGCCAAACTCCGAGTACGACCCCTGCAAGCCAGGTTGCTGCTTGCAGCGGGCGAAGGCAAAGGAATTGAGTCTCAGCTCATCCACGTTGCGCTTGGGCTTGTTGTACCACTCTTCTTCTTAGTCGGACATGCACATGAACACAGGGTTTGGGGTGCAGGGTTTGCACGGTGAGCGGTTTAGGATTTACCTGTGGCGTCTCCAAGGTACCCTGGACAAGGAAGTACAATGTCAGTTAAACTTCAGGTTCCTTTGGGGGCCTGTAGAAAAAATTGGACCCTAGCATAGGCCTAAACTGTATACGGTCCTTATAACAAGGATCCATAGAAGACGTGTCCTAACCCTTAGGGGTATACAGTGGCCTGGGGAGGGTTACGCAAGGGGTTTCAGAAGCATGGAAACCCTAAATCCTAAACCCTAAATACACTATGCAGGAGAATTGAGGAAGAAGGGTTTCGTGTTTACCTGAAGGCCCAAATGCCCAACTCTTCATGACAGTCAAACCCGAAACGTGTAGGTATTCACCTGGCATCCGCTGGGGGAAGGGGCGGTCGTAAAGTCCGTAAAGGGTAAACGAAAAATGAAAACAACACTCTACTTTGAGCTCTCTATGCAATCAGCCCTTGATGCGGACTCTGGGCTAATCGGGAGCCTCAATAATGACAACAAGCTCTCTGGACAGGGACTGCGGCAACAGTTCTCTGCTCTGAGCGTATAGCAAAAAACGACGTTGGATGAGCAGAAGAACCACAGAAACCTACAACGCCGCAAGGCGATTTTAAGAAGATCCAAGTGAAAACTGCATGTCGGCATACGAGGAAAAGCCGGGATCCCTGCAACTGGAGGTTTCTTTTGAACTCAGCTCCAAACTTCAAAGGATGCAAAGACAAGAGGCTAATTGACTGTTGTGATATCTGCAAAACAATAACGAAGATGACAAGCCCAGTATAACTTCTATTGGACCTGTACCCTGTGGACGGACCCTGTATTCGACCCCACTCCATGCATTGAAGCCTGCAGTGGAATCACCCGAAAATGACCACTCGTTACGAAAGTGAAGTACTCCGCTGGGGTTCCAAATAGAAGAAGACACCCTAATTCAGACAACTACCCGCATACAGGTTGCAGCTAGTAAAGCTAGTAGGTTACAGCTTCGAATGCGCTTATCCACGCCGCCAACCAACCCTCAAACTAGTTGATCTAGGTACACGAGTTTCTAAACAGGTCAGGCTGTGGATCCGACTTTGCGATCGTTGCATTCTGTTTACGTGGTTAAAGGCTACCTAATGTGGACCCCTGGTTAATCATTGGAGATCCCCTCGCTTCTTGGGGCTACTAAGAGGCTGAATGACAATTGTATCAGATGTTCATGCTGGACGGGCTCCTGGTAGACGTCAGATATCTGATTTCTAAGCCCTTCAAGGATTAGCAACCGCATTTCAGTCAGCGCCGTCAGAGAAACGGGGGCGATACTAATCAGGGGTCTGCTTCGCAGAAGGTCGTCCTCAATGAAACTGAATGACAAAGCCCTTTAGGATTTATAGGGGTCTAGGCTCTATTGACTAGGTTTGGGGTTTAGGGCTACGTTGAACATGGGATCCTCCTCTTGGGGGGGGGGGGGTTGGGTGGACAAACGACAAAACAAGAACAAAGGGAGATTCCAACATACTTTGATTGTGAGATCCTTCTGTGCATAATTCCATATATACATATACATATATATATATATGTATGTACACATATCTGTATATAGCCGTATGGGCCCTAGCCAGGATCTGTATATGTGTTTGGCCAGCCAAAACTTCAAGTTTTAGCCGTGGCGCGAAGGTCTTGTGCTTCAAAGGTCACGCATTGACGGCTTCTCTTGCTCAAGACCCCATTCCTGGGACTGCTTCGGACAGGTCTCGGTTAAACCCCTGTGGAAACCTTATCTCGTCTGTATATGTATGTATGTATGCATGCATGTATGTATGTATGTATGTATGTATATACACACATATTTTATACGACTGAAAGAGGTGGTGTTGGGACTACAGGTAAAGGGTAAACCCTGCCATCAAACCCAAGGTCTGCCGCCTGGACTCCTACTTGCAAGTTCGGGCTACCCATAACCTAACCAACGCGGTCCATGTTCTGGGCTTATCGGGGCCAGCGTAGCTTTATCAGTATGGCTATGTTGCAGTGAGGTTATACAAGCCCTGAGTTCCATATACTGGCACTGAAGCTTCCGAAGACTTGGACGGGAACTTAGTTTAGTAAGTTCGGAGCGAGTTAGGATGTGCGGCCTCTTAGGTTGGCATCTCATGTGCCAGGTTTGGCTTGGGGTTTTGCTGAGGACTTTAACACCACAGGCTTTTCGTTTGCCGGGTTTTCCGCTGGTGGTGATGCTGCAGGCTGGTTGTCAACACATGGTTGAGGGAAAACGGCGTTTGAGGTTGGGCTCACGAGATCCGGGTTTAGGCCATCCAACTTGTGAAGCCCCAAGACACATTCCCGGCGTTTTGCTCGCCGTTTCTTGTGGTGGAAAATCAAGCTGCAGTGAAGCTTCCCAAAGACTAGCCCAACATGCCAGCTATGTGTGCATCCTTTGAGGTTGGGGTACTTGTTGAAGGGGAAGGATAAAAGCTTCAGGAAGTATTGCTTCAGCCTGCCAGGCACCAGTACCGTGCATTGTCTGCGAACCATTGTCAAAGGACTTCGGAATAGCTGAGGGTCAACCTTGTGATCACCCCGCTTGAGCCGTAACAAACATGGCGGGTTATCGCTTAGTACAAACCGCAGGGTAGTTCTTGAACTTGCACCCGAAACCTTGATCCCTGACACCGAAACTCCAGACCTCAAGATGCTTCCTGACCGAACAGAGCTGAAACGTTTGTGGATGAAGCAAGTGTAGAAACAAACAAGTTTCAGGTTCTCCAACTCGCCAGGTAGGTTTCGTGCATCGGAAGCTTGTGCGCCTAATGTTCCTAGAAAAGAAAGTGCATTTCAGCCGTGGCACAGCTTGTGACATGCATGCTGCAGGTGAACAAAGAGGCTGCCCTCGTAGTGGCTGGACAATGCCTGCCAGCTAAAAGCACAAAGTTCTGCCAAACCAGACTGCTATGTGGCTGCATTGTAAATTCTAAAGATTCTAATATGCTCTGACTTTCACGCACACTACCTTTGCCCGCCCTTCTTATCATTTCCTACCCTCAACCAGTATGCTATCGAACTCGATACAGGACATACTACAGGAAGACTACGGCCAATGTGGGGCTCCTCGTTTAGGTTGTTTCTGTGGGCGCAAGCTTCAAACACAAGGATTTAGGAATCTTTGGGGTCTGCGGGTTTTAAGGTGTGCCCAGGGCTGAAGCACAGCCGTCGGTGTACTGCTTATACCAGTCTGTAGGTATGCTGGTTGGTAGGAAAGACTTCGGAGCTACGGTTCAGGAACAGCTAGCCAAGCACCACGGTACAGTGGTGGAGGTTTGGGGTTTGAACTAAGCGCTGGGTGTTGGGTCAGGGTCTATATGGGCAATATGCAAACCGGCGGTAAAGACCAGTGAAAGACCGCTGCGACCGCAAATAGAGGCCGGGGTCCCAGGAAAGACGGTGTACAATTGAGTGTCGAGGTCTCAGGGCTTGAGATTTTGGCTTCCAGGCTTCTGAAGCACAAGAGACAACTCAATTTTCTGGAACGCTCCAGACCCAAAGACTGCCATTAATGCCATTAACAGCTAACCCAAAAACGCACTAACCCGAAACCAGTAAAGCCACAGAACTGAACTCTCAACCTAACGAGGGGTCAACTCCATCTTCAGCCTCCTTGATGCCGTCCTTGCTGGAATCCTCTCAGATCCAAGCCCCAACGACCGGCACTCAAAACCGTAGACTTTAATTACCCGGATTGGGGTTTTAGGTTTTGGGTCAAAGGGTCCAGCATCAGGGCTTCGGGGTTGCGGCTTCAGGTTCTAGTGCTTTTGCTCCAAAGGCAACATGCCCCTAAGCTCCAAAGCCTCCACAAGAACACCTTGTACACCTTCATGAATGGCGAAGCCCTACACCTCGAATTACGCCTTGAACGTCCAAAAAGATGGTAGCAAGCTTCTCGAAGCTGTCGCGAAGCCACCGAAATTCAGAGCTGCCGGCTTTACGGCAGTCTCTTTTCTTCGAAGAGAAACAACAGCACTTGTTTTGCGAAATCTCGGCCGTACCGGACACCTAAAACACAAGCTTTTTCCGAAATCTTGGAAAAGCCTGCAAGTGACCGGATGCAAAATCATGCGGACTCTTGTGATCCCCCGCCTTCATCTCGATGAGTTGATACATGACTCCAAAATTTCGTCGCCATTCTACTCCGCATGGCCCCAACCATATCCTGAACTCCCCATATAAGGTCCTAAAGCAACTTGCAAAAGCCCTCACATGCGTAAACCCCACCTGCCGTTCAGCCTGCAACCTTAAACCTGCTGGAACCCTCCGGAGCATCCGTTGGCCAACTATTTTCAGAAAGCCCTGAACCTCGACCCCCAAGACCCTACATCCTACATTCTATTTAAAACTCCAACAACACTTACAGTCCGCGCAGGCTCACATCCCTGAACATCAAGACCCTAGGCTACTAGGTGCTTCAAGCCTAAACCCCAAGACGCTGAGCACCTGAAACTCTTAACCCAGACCCAGGGCCCACCCGAACTCTACCCCCTAAACCCGAAACCCTAAACCCCCTAAACCCTAAACCCGAAACCCTCTCAACCTCACCCTGAGGCCCTCAACCCCACGTCTCTCCTTCATGCCCCAGTCGAGGCTGTCCACAAATTTGTCGGCCCAGGCCGTCTTCCTAGGATTCCCACAAAGCGGATTTACAGTTTAGTTTAGGCTTTAAGGGAAAATGGTTCAGGGTTTTAGGGTTCCCGCCTATACAAAGAAACTTGCGGGGATTTCGGTGGAGATTCATCCGTCAATACTTTCGTGGGCGGTTCGGCCCTGTACACCGCGGGCCGATTGAAATTAACCACCCCACACCGTTCACGAGGCAGCACCGCCACCCAAGCTTAAGTGCGGGAGTAGGCCACCAACTTCGGGTGTTTTCGG